GGCGCTGTCATTCTTTTGACCGGATGCCGCCAGTGCATTTGGCGCTAGGGAGTGAAGTCGTATGCAGTTTGTTTTGAATAGGTTGATAACCACCTAAATAAATGGACATAGCACTAAGGCTTTCTTGGAGTTGCTTGACTGTTCAATGCAACCACCTCTTCAAAATGTTGCTGCAGCATAAAACTCATTCGGCCGAGCACGATGACCCACGAGAGATCATAACTTGCATTGCAATATGAATCAGGTGAACTTGGAATCCACCAGGATAGCATTGTTTTGTACAACGCAAGTTGAGCAGGTTGTGGGGGGGTGTGAAACTTCGAAACCACTTCGTTCGATTCGTCCCCTCATACATGAACAACCATGCTCTCCTTTCGTTTCCCTTTTGAGCCTGTTGGTAAGCTAGTTCACTTGAGCGAGTTTTGCCTTGTGCGTTGACACGCACAAATCGAGAAGGTACTAAATCGGCAGTGTGTGACACGCACAAATCGGAAGTGCGATGACACGCACAATTCGAGGATGTACCAAGGACTTGCCACGTTGATCGTGGCTCAAGGTCACGCCAAAAGGCGTGACTGCGGCGCGTGCGGGGCGTCGGGCGCTCGTGGCCACTAGTCGCAGTGGCGGGTTCCACGGAGGGGGTGTTTTCATTTTGGTTGACCACTGTTAAATCCCTGAAGTGAAACTTCATAGGTGGTGGTGGTGGTGGTGACAAAAACGCATCAAATATCGGCCAAGCATTTTTGCTGCCTTTCTTCCTGCTTCTGTCACATCATGGTTGTGCCTTGATCCACCGGATCATCATAGCGTCGGAACCATCGGCTTCGGAGGCCACACACACACTATCAGTCATCCCACAGCCGGGTCGAGAGCGACTCGATTCCTTCGTTTTCGATTCCTTGCATCAAACCCCATTTCGATGTTCGATTCGAGCGGTTCGTTTCGGTGGCGATTCAGCAGCGGTTCGGTTCCTTGTTGGTAGCGCGGTTTCCGATTCCGGATTCGATTCGGAACATTCCTGCTGGGCTGATATAGATGGGGCCACTGATTGACCAACGCGATGAATCACAGAGTTGTTGCCACCTTCATCGTCGGACATATTCCGTTGGTGGCGAAACTATGTGGCTATGATGGGATCATGCAGGTGGCAGCCTTGGCGAAGAGAGCCATCGCCAACAACCGGGCTCCCTACTCCTACTCTGACTTCGCCATTTGGTTGCCGTTTGGGAGGCGCGCTTTAAAGGTCCAGAGGTTGAGGACATACACCCCTCTGGGAGACGGCTCCCATATTATATTGAGGTATATCCGGCCCAGGTTCTTTTCAAGCGTGGGTGTGTGTGGAGAGTGTTCATGTGTGCCGCCTTGATGCTGAACATTGAACATTGTAAACCTTTCTGCGCTGGAGGTGTACTACAAGAGCATCGATAAGCTCGTGATCCCCAGTGTTGGGCGTTGATATAGACGACAATGCCCGTCGTGCGGGGCAGCTGGAAAAGTTGAGACGTCAGTGAGTCAGTTGATGGTTGACGGAGGTAGACGTCGCCCTGCGCCAGAAGACTGGAACCCGAAAGAGCCGTGGTCTTGCGCGTTCAAGATGGTGGTCAAAGACTCGACGTATTGGTTAGAGAGGGTTCGCCACCCTGCGACGGCATGGATTGCAGGCAGCCCAGGAGCGCCAAAGGTGGCGTCGGAGGCAGAAGTCCTTTCGCATCTCCCAGGCACCGTGGGAAACTTCGAGGCGGAGGTTGAAGAGAGACCGAATAAAAGGAAGCTGGCTAACAAGGAGAAGAGGCTGGCGGCAAAGCGAGGCCGCGACCAGCCCAAAGTGGAAAAGGAAGTGGAGGCAAGTCCAAGGATCAGGCTCGCAACGCACTTTGTTTTTTGTTGGGCCTCAGGTTCAGGACCCTGTGCTGAATGCGCTTGTGCCGCGAAGAGGGCGCGCAAGTGTAGGAAGTGCCTTTCCTTCACATCAAGATGATGCCTGTCCGCAGTGAACTGTTGAGGCGGACGAAATAGGCGGTGAAGGGGTCCGTCAAGTTGATAGACATTGAGGCAAGCGAGCAAGTGATAGACGTGGACACGCCGCCAGAACCACACAATGAACAAGATCAGAATGATGCGGAGATAAAGATGCCAACCCTATGGGCCATTTCAAGATCGGCCAGGGAAGCATGAGACACCACATTGGCAGCGCCAGTTGGAACCTGCCATTAGATCAGTGGCCCACGCTTTGCGGATGGAAGTTCGCAAAGTACCACGTCAAGGTGGAGCTGGCGAAGCGCAAGCCGATGAAGATCCCGACCTGCGATCGCGACCAAGTCAGTGGAGGATGGAGCCTGGCTGATCACGTGCAGGTTTGATCAAGCCCTAGGATGACCAGCTGACAGAGAATGTCCGGCTGACTGTGGAAAAGGAGTTCCCCAGGGTGGAGGGTTCGGAGTAGAAGAAACGAATGAACTTTGTCTAGATACTCTTTCCTTCCACGCTCCTGGGCCATCTGTCGTCTAGTATGTTTTGTTGCTGGAGAAGTCCATAGTGGATTTGGTAGGATGGGAGTTTCAAGTTTCAGATGTTATAGACAACAATCCAACCGCATCGGCGAAATTCTTGTATGAACATTATGAACATGTTATATGAGTCTCTTTGAGACATTCATGTGTTCATATTGAATGATGAGGTGAGGTGCCCAAGTAGCAGACCCTGACTTGTGTCCTTTCGTTTTGAGGCCGCAAAGGTTGAAAAGCCGCCAGACGAACCTGACCTTGCAGATGTGTTTCCAGGATGCGCTAGAATTCAGGACGGTGATTCTTATTTGATGATGGGTATGACCGCGCATTCATGTGTGTCAGTGGCAACAACCTGGATTCATATAATTGATTTATATTTGGAAATCTCATCTTGTGCAATGATGTTGGGTTTGATTGAGTTGAACTTTATTGTTGCATTTGTGCGCATCCAATATCAAGTTTTAAGCTCAACTGTGCCAAATTTTCATGTACGCCCAAAATAAAAAATCACGATAACATTTTGTTCATTTGCGATCCGTCTGCAAGTCATTGACTGATGGATCAGCAGCGGCCCTAACCAAAAACTGAATTTCAAGGTGCGCAACACCTCGTTTTCAACCGTGCCAGCTTCACCTTATGCGCTGAAGCCTCCCATCAATCTCCACTTCCGGGATGCCGGCCACATGCACGCCACCCTTCAGGCCCTTCAGGCCAGAAACCTTCAAAGGATTGTAGCAGCAGAGATGAGCCTGGAGTATCCTGGAGTCAGTGTACTCCCTTTCAAGTACGCCTCGTACCGAATCGCACTTTGGGTGTCTGGCACTTTTTGCCATGGTCCCGGTCACGGTGGCCAACCTGTCCAGAGTTGAATGACAAAGCTATCCGAATCATCCAGCCACAGCTACAAAAAGAAGAGCATCTACATAAAATGCGGGCTACGCAGGAGCGGCTGATCAAAGCGGTCGTCAATGTCTGCCCTCATCAGCGCATGATCCACAAAGGCCTGGCGGTGATCAGCTTAATCCTCTCTCGGAGGGCCTTTCTGTCCAGCATCAAAGAGAGCAACCACGTTTGAGTCAACCTCGGTGAGGGGATCATGATCACAGCCTTACAAACTGGTTTCGGTGAGTTGTACTCACTGATGTGAATGTCGATCCTTCGCCATCCATATAAATGGAGCGAGCGATCCACCTCATAATATAGGTGGTCCCATCAGCCGAGAACAGGCAGTGCATATTACGGGGCGAAACAAATTCCGGCAACTCCAGCCATAGCCAAAATTGCTGCTCGATAGGGCTCCCCGTGGTGATAGGACGATCTATATAGAATCTAGAAAACGAGCGCTCCAATCGAGCATAGTCTAGTCCATCACCACTAAAGAGGGTACCCCATGATTGCGGCTGCGGATTGATGGCACCAACAGCGGTGGTCGAAGCTTTTTGTCGATCTTTCCCTTCTACTTGTCCTGGCCCTTCGCCTTTTTTCTGAGATTGGGAGCGTGATTTCTTCCTCGTGTCGATGCACTTCTCCCACCAGGTAACTTGCAAGTAGGGCACGGTAGCCTCACATCGACAGCTCCACCGTTGATGCTGCGTTGCTGCGGCTATGGAGGCCCGAGCGAGTCGTCAGAGGTCGACTGCCTCCTCTCCATCGTAGGAGCGTGCTCCCTGGCGTCGCCGCAAATGGCGGTGCCACGCCGGCTCTGTCCCCCACCGCCCACCGCACCACGCCCAGAAAATAGGGACCAAAAGATCAGGCGCACCCATACGCGGACCTATACCTAAGGTTCGCGAAACTTAATCGCACCCTGAGGGGCAACTCATAGCACGACTCGGGGCCTTCACAATAAAACACCCATTGGAAGAAATCCTGACCACAGATCTCCCTTTGTTTTTTGCAGTGGCCGATCGGCTGCATGACGCCGGAAGAGGGCCTCGCCGATCTGCTGAAGAAAAACAGCCACCCCACCAAGCTCAACTTTTGGTGCGGAAGATTGGGGGACGCAGAAGTCGAGGCCGCAGCAGTTTTTTGCTTCGTTGGAAGTGGAGCCTTTTTTGGGGTGGCGAGGCCCTCGCGGACGCCTTGAAAAAAAACACCGCCATCACCATGATCGACCTCACCTGGAATAAAATTGGAGACGCTGGTGCTAAGGCCGCTGTTTTTGAAGAAACATCTCTCCAATCTTTGCCATTTGAGTGTCAGATTGCATATTCGGCAGGCATTGGCTGAGATGCTAAAGGTGAATACCACCCTCAGAGTTCTCGGCCTCGGTGCAAATCAGATTGGTGACGTTGGTTTTGAGGCCTTTTGTGTCCTTCTGTCAAAGCACCTTTCCAATTGCCCATTAGATTTCACAATTGCACATCGCAGGCATTGGCGGATGCCTTGCAGCACAACAAGACCCTCAGCAAACTCATCCTCGACACGGATAATTCGGAGGAACGTGTTGGTCGCTCCAAAAGAGTCGTTGCTCCTGGTCCCGCTTTGTGACAGGCATGGAATCGAATCAGGGAGCGCCTCAAGGCAAACCGAGAAGCTGCTGTAGAGGCTGCTGGTTGTTGACTTGGGCCCTTTGGTTGTTGTGAAACATGGCTGGCGCCAGGGATTTGTTCATGATAGAATTTATGTTGTTATGCAATCATGTTGCATTATACATGTTTTGTTCATGGTTTCCGAGTTTGATTTCTTTTTGTTGAATCTGTTGGTAAGAAGGCCTTGTAGCAATTGCTTTTCTTGACTTTGAACATATCCAGACGTACTTACTTAGAACGTCTTTCCTCAGCTTTGTCGCAAGTGTCTTTGTGAGAATTTGTGTGGTGATGGTACCCCGTGGCTTGGCAAATTGGATGGTGGAGCTCATTTTTGCGGACTCAGTTTCCAAAGTCTGTCTCATGCAGGGTCTAAAACGAGTGCATTAACATGATTCTGTGAAGCATTTGCTTCCACCTTTCGCATCCTTCTTCACATTTGTCACTGCTTTTGTTCTCGTACAACTCCTCTGTTTGGCTGACTGTTCGGCTGCCCTGGCCTGGCATTGTTGGCTTCTCAAACGCCTGTGATGCCCTTCTCATTGGAATTGTCATTTGCTGCCTGCAGGCATTGGCGGAAGCATTGAAGCACAATAAGACCCTCCCCAAGCTCGACCTCGCTACTTATGGATTTGGTGTTGCTGAAGTTCAGGCTGTCTTTATGAGGATTGAGTTCTGGAACATGAGTTGTTTCAGAAGATTATGTTGCTGGACATGAATTCACATGACTGATTTGGTTGTGTTCAACATTGAAAACTGTTGCCCTTGGTTTGGCTTTGTAGAAGGATCTTCTTGTAGCCATCGCGTTAATGGATCTTTTTGTTGAACTTGCTTGTTACCTTAGCTTTGGTTGAGTGGAATTTGTGTGTTGGCAGCGGTGTTCCAAGAAATTTGAGTTCCTTCTCGTAATGCATTTTGGTTTGGTGGCCAAAGTGTTTCTCACATTTGAGAACCTTGAAGATTGTGTCAGACTTGGATCATTGTGCTTTTCAGAATGGCTTTGGGTCATTGTGTAGGGAGGACTGTGAGCTTGGCCAAATTGAAAAGCGTCCAAGAGTCTGAAACTCCAATTCAATTCCACCCCCCATGATTTGAGCATTAGATACCTGCAGGTTTTGGCCGAAGCGTTGCAGTTCAACACCACCCTCACCAACCTCAACCTTTCTGGACTTCAGATTGGTGATGAGAGTGCTGAGGCCCCTCGCTTTGCTCCGCTTACAGAAGTTTCCAATTTCCGTTAGATTTCACATTGCTGCCCGCAGGCTTTGGCAGCTGCATTGCGGCACAACAAGACCCTCACCAAGCTCCACCTCGGTGCAAATCAGATTGGTCGCTGGGGCTTTGAGGCCTTTTGTTTCCTTCTGTCAAAGCACCTTTCCAATTGCCCATTAGATTTCACATTTGCACATCGCAGGCATTGGCGAATGCCTTGCAGCACAACAAGACCCTCACCAACCTCGACTTCAACCGGGATCATTTTGGCCATTATGAAAGCCACCCTTACCAGGAAAGCGTCGGTCGTTTGCAAGAGTCGTTGCTCCTGTCGCCGCTCTGTGACAGGCATGGAATCGAATCTGGGAGCGCCTCAAGGCAAACCGAGAAGCTGCTGCAGAGGCTGCTGGTTGTGGACTTGGGGCCTTGGATCCTTGAGAAGTGTTGGTATTAGCAATTGTTGTCTTGAGTCTTGAGTTGTTCACTTTTGGACTTGTTTTAACTGTTTCTGACTACTTGACCTTGAACCCATTTAAGTATTTGTAAATCGCTTTGTCGCAATCCAGGGTCCTTTTTGATGACCGTAGTTCCTCTTACAGTACTTGTTCGCTCAGTTTTGTTTCTGCGGTTGAACGTTCATGTTCACGACCGTTCACTCCATACATGTCAAGACAGCTCATCTCGCAGAAGGTGACAGAACTTGTCAAACCGGCCAGCAAGTGCAAAACGGTGTCTAGGTCTAGGGCAGCTTGAACGATAGTTGTCCAACCCAGTAAACCGTGGGTTATGAGCCCAAGGGCGCGCTGTTAAGAGCCTTTGAACCAAGACGGGGATCTTCACAAGCGAGACGACATGAATGTGCTTCAACTGAAGAGCAGCTTCAGCAAATGTGGGCTTGCGGCAAGGGCGGACCTGGAAAGCAGATGCTGGAGTGAGGCCCCGAGAGCTTCCTCGCGCAAAGGTGAGCGGATCCCTCAGAGCGGACCCGGGCTCCAGGTAGACATCGGCAAGGCTTGATCCATCCCACAGGACCTCCTGTGATCCTGAGCCCGTCGCCAGCGAAGATGGAGGGTGAAGGGGGCGGTGGTGTTAGAAGAATTGCAGCGCAAGTGGGGTGGGTGGCTCGCTGGCGGCCTATGGTGGTCCTTCTGCGTCGGCGGGCGCTTTTCTCTTCCTGATAGCCATGTGGCGTTGCATGGTGGACGGCTTCATAAACCTTGTGATGTACACGGAGTTCTTCCGGATCGCCACCACATGGTGGAGGACCTCAACCTTGTGATGTAAGTTCTTCCGGAAAATCATGTGACGTTGTTTGATGGAGGATGTTAAAATGTGTCCCAAAATGATCTTCCTGGGGGGACAAGGTTGACGCCAAGTTCATCCTGGTCTCAACAAGATGGTTCGGCCCTGTTTGGTGGACCACAAGTAGTACCCCTTCGTCCATGTCAACGTGCCTCCTGGTCAATCTGTTGGGCCTACGTCGTTGAGCGGTGAAAGGCTTACGGAGATTTTGAAAACCTTTGACGCGCGCCGAAGCCTGAAGTTTGGTGACTGGATGTCTCTGGTGGATGCTCAAATGGCGGATCTCTCATACGCTTCCACTGTGGTGAAGGACGCTGTGGATTGGTGCTACAAGCAGTGACAAGCTGAAGCCATGATAGATGGCCAAGAACTGAAAAAAGGGTATTGGCTATGCTTTTGGCGGCTATCGTGCTCTTCAAGCTCTACACTCAACGTCAACCTGGAGGAGCGGCTGAGAAGACCAAGTTGTTACGTTTGTTGGTTGTTTCAAAAAATGGGCGCCAGTGTGCTGGAAAGGTTGAGAATTTCGAGGTGGAACCGGGGATGAGCTTCAGAGTTGGGAGTTCAGGTGCTGGACCCTTTGGTGTTGGTGGGCTGGTCAGTAAAGTGTCTTGTCAGGCGGCTTACAAATTCAACTCGCGAGGCAGCAGTTGAACTTGGATGGGAACCCCTTGCTTTGCAAGAGGACCTACAACAACGGCTTGCTCAAAGGTATGCTTGCTATGCCTACAGCACTTGTCCCGATGTTTGATGTTGAAGAAGATGAAAAGGCAGCGACAGGGCCAAGGAGCAGTTGGCCACACAAATGCGCGCATGGCGCGCGAGGAGAAACCTGTTTCAGTCGCTCGCGGCAGGAGATGATCTATGGAAAGAAGAGCACGCCTCCTACTACATCAAACCAAGTGGATCAAGCTCTTCGATTTCAGACGTCAGCTGGGTGACCCAGTGTTGCCCATGTTGCCCTTTTGGCCGATGGTGGTCAGGAGGAAAAGAGGGCGTGGACTTATTGTTGTGCGCGAGCCCTCTGATCACTTCTGGTTGGGTTGATTTGGGCTGTCAAAACTCTGGACGGCCAAGGCCGACATATTCGAAACTCTTGGTGAGCGTGATTCAAAAACCGCAGCCCATGCCAGGTGATCCACCTCGTGTTCCTATGGTTCCTCTACCTGCAACGAGCAGTGAAAATGTACCACTTCGCCTTGAGCCTGCTCCTTTGGTGGAAGGCTTGAAACAGCCGAGCCCAGCTGCTTTGCAATTTGGGGAGCCACCCGGGGGGAGTCTTTTGGGGTGGAGGCTTTGGGTTCAGACTTTGGAAGATGGTTCAATAGCGAGAAGAGGACGTTTTAGGGGGAAGATCATGGACGAGGAGTTCGCTGGCAGAAGGGGGTAATTCAGGAACAAGGGCTTCGACGAGATTGCCCGGCTTGTTGCCAGGTCTTGCAACCTGATACTCCTAACCGTGGATCTCATGCAAATCTGCCTTGAGCTCGTTCCATGGATGTTGGACGTCAGCTTCGCTCCGGCTGGTGGCAGGTCCCTCCAACATCTCAAAAAGGCAGGTGTGGTGAGTGTGGTGGGACGATTTTGAAAGGTTCCAAGATGCCTGGAGGGAAGGTGAAAAACCGCTCACTCCATACACGTTCAAGACAATTCATCTCACACAAGTTGACAGAACTTTTCAAAACGGCCCACGACATTTGGCTCAAGTGGCGCCACATGAAAAAAGGTGTCTAGGGCAGCTTGAAAGATAATTGTCCAACCCAGTAAACCGTGGTTTTTATTGGAGCTGCATGTCGGCAATGGTACTCGTATCACGGTTCAAAACATTGAGTCAGAATTGGTTTGTTGTCGTGCTTTGTCCTTGTCGCAGCAAGCTCTGACACCTGCAGGCTTAAACTGCGGGCGGCTCGGGAACCTATCCGCAGATGGCCAGTCAAAAAAGGCTGAGCATGGCTGAGTTGGGGCTTGTGCCGTTTTTAGAGTGAAGAAGTATGTCTGTGTCATGGGAATTCTCATTTTCTTCCTGGGTGCACTTTTCTTATCCGCGTGCTTGCTCTTGGAGTTATAGGACAAGCTGCGCACATGACAAAGCTAGCCATTCAGCCCTTCCTTTGCAGCAGGGAAGTTTCTTGGCCTTAGGATTTTTTTGAAGGTTACCCACGCTCTAGCTGTAAACTGCGCAGGCAACTTTCTGAGAACGCAAAAGTCTCAGCAGAACTTGGCAGAGCAGCAAACTTGAATATCTGCGTTTTTGTGCACATGATAGTTCAGCAGAGATGACACCGAGCTAGATGCCGAGCCCCCAGAACAGAACTTTTTTGAGTGCGATCCTTGATGAAGACTTTTGTTTGAGGCCGTTGTCTATCACGGTGAGGATCTCAGAGCAGCACATTTGGGTGGCTCTTGCCATCTGCAGGTGTTGCCGAATAGTGTGTGGCCACGGGGGCCTTTGACTGGCTCAGGCTCCGGGCGGAAGGGAGAACATGTCCTCAAAACATGTGGTCAAACAAGACCAATAAGATACAAGAATAAGACAGAGCAAAATGAAATGCAGGCAAACCTTGCGCGCATGAGGAAAAGCAATCCGATATGTCCTCCGTTGAGAAAAGGCATTCACCTGGAAGAGCGGCGCCATGAGTCTCTCGCAGCCTCGTTTGTCCAGGAAGGCAGGGGGTGACCAAAAGAGAATGTTATCAATGAGTTATATTCAAGAGTAGTGAAACCAGGGTTTCTCTTTACTACTCAGGAAGAGCCTCAAAGAGAATGTGCCAACCAACTCCAACAATCTCCAAGCCAGATGCGTGGCCCACCCATGTATGGGCACGAAAGCAACTTCCTTTCACGAAGGAAAGAACCACGAGCGTGTTCATTCATTCTGCAGGTTCTGGCTTTGCACGATGAAGCTACTGTGCCAGCTGAAGACGACACTTCATTCCTTCCGTCGCTTGCCTGGCGGATCTAAAGCAGGACTCCGCCTTTTCTGTTATTTCTGTTGGGGCGGGTAGTCAGAGATCTTCCCCCCACGCCTCGCGGGAGCGGCGCCCAAGGCATCGGATGAGCGCCTCGGCGGGCGCGCGCAGCGGCGCCACGCGGCCCGCGCGGGGGCGGCGCTCGCGGCCGCAGTCGGCGCCGTCGCGGCCCACGCGGCCGATGGACTGGGAGGAGTTCTTGCGGAGGCAGACTGCAAATGAAGGAGAGGAAAATTTGGGCAGTGAACGTCAGAGCCATGAAGAGAATGAAGGAAATAAACATGCTAGGAAAAGGGGTTCAACAAAGGTTATTTGTTCCCTGGGTTGTGTGCTTGTGGGAGCCACATGCTGAGAGGACTGGTCAGAAGATCTTTGCATGCAAGCGTGCGTCGTGCCTGTCTCGAGCAGAAGCATATCACGAAGAATGCGCTGAGTGGAAACCAGGGAAGACGTGGCTTTTGCGATTTTTTGAGGACTCAGCAGCATGCTCAAAAAACTGCCGCCAGTGCAAAACTGCAAGTAGACACCTGGCCTCATTTGGGACTTTGTTCACCCCTCACAATACCTGCTGTCTCCGCCAGGAGGCAATATGGCACTGTGCTGGCTGGATGGCGGACTATGGACCTGGACCAGAAAGGCTACCTGTGCTTTCAGGAATTCTGCCAAAGTTGCAGGGAGATGCTCTTTGATGGCGACGTGCGAAGCCTGTGGCGCGAGTTAGCATGTCAGCGGGACTTCATCACTTTGAAGGAGCTCCGGCAGCAAGCTTTAGTCCAAGGAAGAATGGACACAAAGCCCTTCTGAGGCTCAAGAAGGTGGAACGTTCCCCTCTCATCCCGTTCCTTCATGCACATGTGTCTTCCATTTTATTCCTTTAGTTTCTCTGGGAGAGCCTGGAAATCCCGCACGCCGCTGGTTGTTTTTTTGTCGCGCCTCGGTCGTCCAATTCCGTGTTGGCACCGTTTGTTTGGGCCGTTGAGGAGGTGTGTCCCGAAGTGGCCCGGCACGTCTGTGCGATGAAGAAGGCAAGGCTGGAGAGAGTCAAGAATTAGGGGGTCTTGGTTTTGCTTCAAGACATGCTAGGATCAGATTTGGTAAGCCCCAGGTCTACAAAAGAATCCATAGCACGTGAGCCGGACACGCAGGTCATTCTCCAACTCTACGGCAACATGTTGCGGCCTCAGCTTGCCTCAAGGATTCCTATTCCTATGGTACAACTTTGCGTCACACCAGAAACATGCTGCAAACGGTGCAAGCTGCATCATTTGACATCACAAAAATTGAACAAAGCAGAGACGACAGAAGCTCGAAGCAGGAAGCACCTCATATGATTCTTTCCACTCAAGGTTCCTGCCAGCCTCACTTTTTTGCATTTCTTTTCCAGTGCATATTGATACCGTAGCCTGTGTGGTATCTCTGTGGCAAGTTGGCAGTGGTAACCCCATATCCCAAAAGGATGACCGGATGGTGGAAGTCTTTGGATCGTGATCGCAAGGGCTTCGCCGGGAGCCTCAGAGACTCCGTGCGCAGACGCCGTTGGAGGACGCCCCAAAACCCTTTGGGTTTTCCGGTCGCAGCCCAGCCTCCGATCTACCACAGGAGGCCTTTGCTTTGCTTTACCTTCTGCGGTGTCGAAAGCACAAGCGACACTTGTTTTCAGGTTACGGAGCCCGAATTTGTCGCCGCCATTCGTCTCCTCCAGCCGGGCCCCCGTTGAGACCAGCGATGTGGAGCGAAGAGCGATGGATTGTGAGTTGGCTCAGGAAGAAGGCCCCGGAGTACAAGGCCGAGCCTCATGAGCTCTTTCGAATGCCCGGCCTCCATGCGGTTGGATGAGTTGTATTAGAAGCGTGGTTGGTAAGGTTGAGAGTAGTTCAGGGTCGCGCGTTCCCACTCTTTTTTCATGGGGAATGCGTGTGATCAAATAAACACAGGTTATTCCAGGGCTGAGGGTTATTCCACTACTACAGGTCGCGGGTGCTTGTCATCTGTCGGTCATCGGTGGGGGCCAACCTGCAAATGATGTCCTAAGGTTTGTTCCCAGCGGTGCCAGCAAGCTGTCGCTGGCCGAGCCAGACACTCGAGGAGCATCGTTTCAAGATGCCCAAGCCGTCCAGTCCGTCGTGTCAGGTGCATGACTAGTGAGGCGGCCAAGGATTTTTGTTGCAAAAGAATGGGATCTTCCGCTCACTTAGTCTTCACACGGCGGCCACCACCAAGAGGTATACTGAATGGACTCACATCCAACCGGCTCCCCTCATCCAACAGCGTTTTGCTCCCAAATCCCTGGCCCGCCAGATGGCGCTCGTTGGATGCCGATGCACCGACCGAGGTTTGACCCGCGGACCTGGTCGAAGATCTGCTCCGGTGAGCTGCGCCGGGAGAAGCCGCAGAACGTGGAGACCTGGAGGTGAGGGCGCGGTGGAGTCGCTGGGGGATGGAAATGGTGGTGGGTTCAGTTAATATAGAAAGTTGGTGAACATTCCTGGTTAGTAAATGGAAGTGTCAGAGAAGAGAAGATAGTTGCCTTGTTCTAGGGGTGCATTTGTATGGCGAAGACTTTGTCACCGGTCATGGAGAGCACATGGAGAGGAAGGAGATGTTCCCAACTGTGTTTCAAGCCTTTTGTGCCCACCATTGCAGCTGTGTCTTCGCTATGCAAATTGATCAGAATTGTGCGGATTGATTGCACCCACGATTCCATGAACACAACCAACGAACACTCAGTCAAACTCAGAACTGGAATCGCCATTGGCCCTTCTTGTTCTCCAGCCCCTTTTGGACTCCAAACGTCCCGAACCAGACGCTCCACACCGAAGGCGCCTGTCGGCCAAGTGCACGCGCCGGGAGCTTGGTGGTCGTTGGTTTTCGCATGGCGCGTCGCGGGTTCGCCTGCGGGCGCGAACGTGCTGGGTGAGGCTATTGTCCCTACCGGCCCTACCGGCCTGAGGAGCAGGTGAGGGAGGAAAGGCTCAATGGGAATTTGTTCAAAGAGTGAGTATCTAATAGTTAGAATGGGCCTTGCCCATCTTCCAACCCTGAACCCCAAACCTCACATCCCCCAACATACACACAACATACACAACATTTCACAAACATATCATCAAAACTAACCACACAAACCCAAACCCAAAACCAATCATAACAATCAACCACAAGCCCGAATCCAAATACAACTCCAAATTTTCAACAAGACTTGTCTTGTTGAAAAATTGCCCGCCTAAATGTACATAAACAATATTAATCAAACAATAATCCATAAATCACAACACCAACCAATTACACACCCAACCTCAAAAATTCTAACAGCATAACCTTGCCCCACTAGATATAACCCCAAAAATTATGTTATAATTTCTGTGGTAAATTGTCGGGCAAGGTTATGTTGATAGAAAAAATATGTTTATATATATATATTTTCAGTTTGTTGTTTTAAGTAGTCTTGATGTTGTTTTGTTTTGGTGTTTTGCTTTTGAACTAAAGCAAAGAATTGCTCCACATTCACAAGTGTATTCTTGTTGTCTGTATGCTTGTCTCTTTTCTTTGTTTATTTTGTCATATTTTTTGAAATACTGCTGTAACACAATGTGGGGTTGTTTCACTGTTTACTGTGAGCATTGCTCCATTACCTTGAACCGCAACGCTGTGCATGAAGACGTCTCTGCTTCGAGCCCGTGGACAATATGTCTACTTCAACTCATTTGGCTCAAGAGTGGTAAAAGGGCGTTCATCCGATTTTACGTGGTTATCAGCCGTAGCTCCTGTTCATTGCGCCTTGCGCGCTGCATTCTCTTCACCTTTCTGGCTTCCTTTGCTGCGCCTTCTCAGAAAGACTCTTGGTGCATGGGGCTGGCCGAGTTTGATGTGGCTTTATGCCACCGAGGGAGAGGGGTGAGCGTGGTGGGAAGAAGGTTCAGAGAAGTAAGCGGCTTGCTGCAGATACTCTTCGGGGATCCCACACTCCCACAACTAGGCCATCATCCGAAGCAGGGTTGTCTCGCATCGGAGCTGTGGAAAAACAGGTTGTGTTCAGTGAAGCTGCTTCCCCGAACAGTGCGCAATCTTCTCTTCACCCCACCTGTTCCCCAAACACGTTAGCCGTGAGTTCGCACGATCTGTCGTCGGAAAAGTTCAGCACTCCATCTGTTACTCATTTGAAAGCTTTTGGCGGGTGCCTGACTAGCCGACTTGTTCAGGGTTGGTAGCTGAACGAACCTCTCTGCCCTGCGCTTGCGCGGGAGAAGACTGTCCAAGCAGCTAACCTTTTGGTTGGAGTCTCGGTTTGATTGGTAACCCGTTGCAATGGAGGAAAATTCAGGAAGCTTTCAGCCGAGCTGCACTAGCTCAACTTCAGGTGTTCCAGGAGTTCCCGCGGTAGGTGGTGCATCAAGGGAGTCCTCGAGTGGAGCAAGTTCAGAGACCAGAAGACATAGACCAAGGAAGAGTGAAGTAACCCCATACTCCCGGCCCCCAAGGGTTGATGCGATGGTAGAGCAGTCACAAAGTGGATCACCTTCTAGCCTTCCCCCCTTGGAGGATCGAACGCAAAACCACGCAATGGGTCATGCGGAAAGCCCGCATTCCACTACCTTCCAAGAGTTTCGCGACCAACGATCGATCAATGTAGATCAAAGAACCATGAATGTTCATTCTGGCGTTGACCCGCGTATGATCTCCCAACTGGCTGGTGCAGCTGCAGCTGGCGAAGTGCGGGCCGAGGCCGCATCAGTTGTCACTCAAGTAGTGCTAGAGGCAACAGGAGCACTGTCTCAAGCTCAGAGGGAAACATCTCAAGCTCAGGCCCTTGCAGAAGTGACTCGGGTACAAGCAATGGGTGAAATTCAACAGTTGAGAGATCAACTTGGTGCCACCAGCCTGCATGCGACTGCGCAGGTGGAGGCGCTCCAAAGGGCATCGTACCAAATAGATAGTTTACAGAATGAGTTGCGTGAATCTTCTTATAGGGAAGAGTTGTTGAATGATCAGATCAGAGCGTTAGGAAATGAAGTTGCTAGGATGAAATCTGCACTTGCCCAAAGCCCTCAACAAAGACATGATGCGTTGAGTAATCAGGAGTTCCCCTATACACCACCAAGTCCTAATGGAACGGGATTGGCAGCGGCCAGGATGATTGCGTTGGAAGAAAGGGCGCGGGTGGTCGAAGATCAACTTGCTGTTCAACGCAACATCCTGCAAGATTTGTGGCAAAGTACCAATGTTGCCCCGTCACCTTCCAGAGTTGCCTCTCCGACGGTTCGGCCCTTCAGCCCGCTTCCAAAGGAAGGGGGTGACGGATCGCCTTCCCATTTCCACATCCCGGATCAAGATCCGGATGACGAAGGGAGTGACTTAGATCAGCCAGGTTGCTCAGGCAGAAAGACCTTCATCACTTGAAGTTGCCACCTTTGCCCGAATCAGCTGCACAGTATCGCACTTGGCGCAACTCAGTTCGCACTGCAATTCTGGCTTTCGACCTTTCAGCAGAAGGAGTCCTGACCTCATGGTTAGGAAAAGCGTTCCACGCAAGGGGGACGGACGCTATGGTTCTAGCTTCTGATAGCGAGGGTTTCCCAAGGCTGGATAGGGTTATTGCTAGTTTGCTGTGTAGACAAGAGGTTCTCAAATCTAGTTTCGGTCTCAAGGTTCAGGCCTACGTGGAATCTTGTGAAATGTCGGGAGATTGCACCAGGGGAAGGGTAATATTGAACATGATCGCCTCTGAGTATGACACCACTCATGCCTCTTCCTCTATCACTTCCAGTTTGGACTTGTTTCAACTACCAGCTCCTCATGACTCATCGGCAGGGTTGAAGTTATGGCATGATAGGTGTACGTATATTCTTTCTCAGCTGGCTTTGAACGACCTTCTGAGAAATTGCTGTCTCAGTGGGCTTACAACAGCTTGAAAAGGCACCACCTCATGCGTAGGCCAATTGACCGCTATGTTGAGGACCCTTCCATGCGAACTTTTGAGCATTTGTGGTCAGGTGTTGAAAGAGCTTTGAAAGAATCTCAATATGATTCGAACGCCCAGAGCATTCGTGATGATTTGCGTCGTGGGCCTTCCCAAGCCTCAAAGAAGCAGCAACAACAACAAAGCCAGGAATCCCAAGCGTTGCCGGCTCCCAAGTCCAAAGGAAAGGGCAAGCAACGTGAACAGGAGAAGGACAAAGGTCCCAAAGCCGGAGGTCCAAAGGACCCCAAGGATCCCAAAGGCAAGTTCAAAGGAAAAGGTGCGCCCAAAACCGGCACTTCTACTTCTAAAGCTTCTGCTCACCAAGGCTCCCCGCCGCCTTGCATTTTTCATGCGCGCGGAAAATGCACAAGGACCAATTGCCCGTTTTCCCATGACACCTCCGCAGCTTCGGCCACTTCCACTTCTGGAACTCCACATGCTGTCCCAGCCCCTAGCGCTCCAAGTGCTCCGCCAAAGGCGTCGTCGGCCGCAGGTAAGCCAAAGGCAGCGTCCGCTCTGGTGGCCTTTTTAGGAGGGTTGTGTCCTGGTGTTGGACACGGTCATGTCATGGGTTTGGCAGGGAACCCCACTACAGCTCCTGCTCCAGGATTCGTTGAGTTCATCGGCGACACAGGTGCTGGTGAATGCCTCGGTTCTCCTGAGGCTCTTGCAAAGCAAGGGTTCCAGATTCCTGCGCAATACTTTGTCGAGACTAGTCACCCTCTCCAGTTTTCTACTGGCGGTGGTTCACAACACGGTTCTACTACCGTTGGGTGTTGGTCGGATGACTTTCGAAGGTTGCAGAACGTTTCTGTGTTGCCCCAATGCCCCATGGCTCTGAGCATTGGCCAACTCTGCAACGACAGGTTCTCGTTCGTGTGGCCTTCCCACAGTGTTCCTTTCTTGGTTCCACCCACCTCTCATTTATCTCTTGATGTGGATGGCCCCCCTTTGGATGCTCATCGTGTCGAACACCATGTTCCTGTGTTTCGTATTTCTGCCGAGTTGGTTCCCGGTCTTCCTAGCGTCCCTGCCCTCCCCAGCCCTTCTTGTGCCCCTTCGGGGGGGGGGGATACGCCTGTCGTGTCTGTTGACCACTCCAAAGCCCCCGAAGGTCCACAGGAGGAGGGCGCGACTGACGCTGAATTGGCAGAGATTGCACTGTCACCCGAACATTGTTTGACCCATCTTCCCAAGTCCAAGAATTGCCCAATTTGCATCCAAGCTAAATTGTATGAAGCCCCACACAGGCGCAGACCGAACCAGAGGGAAGTGTTACGAGCGATTCGGGACGCAGAAGAACCAACCGAACCTTTTGAAAGACTGGCATGCGACCATGTCATTTCTAGAACTAGCCCTGGAAAGGGGGGTGAAACGTGTTCTTTTGTGATCGTCGATAGGTTTAGTGGTTTGGTTGGCCTCCAACCTTGTACCTCCAAAGGGTCGGAAGAGGTGGAAACTGCTTTGAGGAAGTTCTGCGGTAGGAAGAGGCCAGGAATAGTATCGGTAAGTTCCGACAGAGCGCCAGAGATTTTGTCAGCTCTTTCGCGTCTTGGTTTCAACGCAGAACCTGCAGAACCCAACCAACCGCTTCACAACCCAATTGCAGAATCTTCTGTCAGAACTTTGAAGGGTATGACTTCTTCATTGTTGCTCCAAGCAGGGTTTCCTCATGAACATGGCCCTTGGCCCACAAGTTCATTGAATGGATCCACCCCGTAACAGCCATTGCTAATAACGAGGAATCCAAGACTTGTTTTGAGAAACACCATGGGTATGTATTCGAAGGTTTCAAACTCCCTTTTGGGTCACTCGTTTGGGTTAAAAACCATGATGCACTGCCATTTGACCCTAAAGGAGAACCCGCTCTGTTTTTGGGAGCGGAATTGATTGATGGTCAGCGTTTTAAGGGCTTGTATCGCGTCTTTTAAGAGAGAGAGTTGTGCGAACCTTGGCAGTACCTCCGGGCCCCTGGCAATTCCCAGCCAAAATAGGAAGCGCCATCAATCAACCCTCAAGTGACCAACCTGGTTACTTGGGGCCAGAGAAGACGCGCGAAAGCGTGAACGCAGAGTTCGACAGGTTTCATAGGGAAATGGA